TTGTCCGCCGCTGGACGCGCTCAAGTTGACCCGGGCCAGCGTGTACAATTCCGGGTTTGTGTTCATGGAGACTTTGAAAGCGGGCGAGATCGAATGCCATTACTTCCTCAACCTGGACGCCAAGGGGCCATCGCCAGCCGTGTCGGACTTTATGGCGCGGCGAAAGCTCTCGGCGCTATCGCATCTCAACAAGGTACTCCAGGAACAGCGACTCGAGTGTGAACCCCTGCTTGGCGACTTGGACTTGCCCCATCTACACCACCCCAAGAACGAATGTGCGCTGTGCTACAAGCGGTTCCAGTTCTTCCATCGTAAACACACGTGTCGGAAATGTGGCGAGGTAATATTTGATATATATATATATATATATATATATAATTGTGCAGTTATACCGATTAGTATATATATGTGGGTTTGCCCAATCCGAAGGGACTGGGTCGAATCAAACGTTTGGATTGGCAGATATTCGACAGAACGTGATTTGATTGGCTTGGGCGGTTCTTTATTCCATTCTCTTACGACATTTGATTCTGCTGAAGGCTCCAGTTTCGAATTGATTTGACAATATAAATATATATATATATATCACCATGTCGTTTACTTCGAAGTAGTTTAAAATCAACTGTCGGTTGCCTAACCCTTTTAAGCTGCCAATAGTGCCGTACCGTTGCACGATGTACTTCAATGTGAACAATTGATTGAAATATATATTTTCCATTTGTAGCCTTGTGTTGAAATTACATAAAAAAACATATATATATATCTATAATAACATGCACATACGCTTTGCACATGTCCATGGTGCACATTCATGACAAATACGGTAGGTTTAGTGAGTGTGGTTGGGTTTGTTTCATAAAGTTTTATTCGCTTTTATAATCATTATATAAATATGCTGTCAATATATATGTCCCGTATACCTACCTCCATGAGCTGGTTCGAGGTTGATTTGGAGTGTCTTTTGCTAATGTAAATGTATATATGCGCTTCGTTGACTGGATATGAGTATGTGCGTATAATATGGGTTGTTGTTCTTTCAGCCAAACTTTGTGCTGATTGGACAACTCCGTGGATCGTTTTTGTACTGAGTTTTGTATGTAAAATGATCGTTCAGTGTCACACAAATACTATCAGTCACACTTGGTTGACGAGAGTTTTGATTGGTCAGTTGAATCATATTGTGGGTTTTGATTGGTCGATCGATTGTCTGGTGCTGCTTCGACCCCCCCCACTCGCATCATATCGACTGGACCATCCACATAAATAAATGATCAATGTATTGTGGATTGAATTTCCAGACGAATCGAATATCTCGCCGCCGAATCGAATCACGAATCATTGACGCTATTGGCTCATCCAATTTTGAGTCGATTTGATTGGCTCTTTCAGAACAGACAAGTATATTCAGCCAATCAGAACTTCCAGCGTGATTCAATATTGATTCGACAAACCACGCGAATTTCGGAAATATATAGCGAATTCCCAAGATGAAGAAAAACTAATTATTTATTTGCCAACATTGGGAGTTTGTATACCGTGGTGGGGGCGATGGTTTTGAAGCAGAATGTTTGTACTCAAGATTCGAGATATGTTATTGTTGTGTATATTTGTGCCCTGTTGTTTTTCTGTATATATATATATATATATAGATAGATCGGTTGCTCACCAAAAGACTGGCGGTGGTAGGTCGTGTGCAAGAGCTGCCAATCGACGTGGGAACTCGACTTGCCGGGGGTAGGTGTCCGTCAGATCTGCATTTGCACGCTTTGCTCGGCGCAGTCGCGGGGCACGAGCAGCCATCCCGACGCGGTCGGACGCATGCGCCAAGTGTACGAGGAAGGGCAAGCCGACATGGACATTGCCGCCGCCGACGACGACGACGGCGCGACCATGATCACCGACATCTCGTGCAGCATTAGCCAGCACTTTGCTCCACATGATGATACCAGCGACGCGTACATCAACACCAATCCAGTCAATGCTGTGACGAGGGACCAGCCGCCCGATCGAGGGTTGGTCAACAGACCCGACGACGGAGTGTCCACTGATCCCAATGTATTATCGTCATCGAGTGAGCATCGTAGCCGGCGGCCTTCGTTTCCGCCATATTTGTTGGAGCATGGCGGGCGGACCAGCGGCGGCGGCACCACCTCGGCCACGCACATGCCTCTTCCATCGGTCTTGGTGCCTCGTCTTCCAAAGCAACATCACCAGCAACAAGTACATCCTCACGTACATTTGTCAAGTTCGTCGCTTGCATACCAGTACGGTGGTGGTGGTGCTCCTGATACCCACGACGACGTGATCTCCCTCGGGTCGGAAGAACGCTTTTCCCTCCATTCATCTCGACAATACAATCATCACCATCATGATCGAGTGTCCGCGGCGGCGCTGCTGGGATCTGTGCGTCTAGGGGGCGGCATGCCTGAAATCGACCACGAGGATCATCATAGCAGCAGCCATGTTCATTCGCAGCATCGCATGTCCCCTCCACGACCCAGCTACGACGCCAGTGTCGATAATCTCGTCAACCCGTCAACGTGGAAGTCTCATCACCACCAACATCATCACTACCCGACGACCGCCAATGCTGCGAGAATAGAAATTGCATCCAACCATCGATTCGGTTGACGAACCCATCGACGGTATACACGGAAGAATGCCAGAGGCGGCGGCGGCGACTCGTGTATATATATATATATAATACTGGATATTCAAAGTGCATACCTCGGGACTTTGTTCTCTGGCTCAAATATGTTCTGAAGTGGCGACAAAAATATAT